TGATTTCATCCACAGTGGTGGTTTTATTATCAATGCATTTGTACAAGATGTCCAGTAGAAGGGCGTATTCTGGAACCAACATGTTCTTCTTTACTTTTAGTGTATTTAGGTGTTGAGCCTTGGGAAGAAACACCATTTCTTTGAAGACTTCCTCGTCCAGGGTGATGTTATCTATCTCTGGGGATTCCTCTCCTGGCAAGGATAGTAGATCCCTGATTTCATCTTGGTTGATTTCTACTTCACGCCCCAGAACCACTGACTTTAGCGTGCCAGAAGTTGAGTTTAAGTAGAACTCCGCTACTACCTCGGGGTAGAAACAGGGGTAAGGATAGGTGGCCATTTTCATTAGCCCGATTGTTTCTAGCTTTCTCAGGAGGTCCTTCATGAGATCACTGTTGTTTGCCCTCTCAAGGATTTTGGGGGTGTTGAGGATGGATCCAGTAAAGATAGATTTGGCTATTTGGATGAGTGAGGCCATTTTTGTGTAGATGGGGGAAAGGAAGGATTTGCGGTGGTAGTGTATAAGAGAGCTTTTGAGAATGTCAAGAGAGAGTTTGAGAGCTTAGAATGGGTAGAAAGAGATTGCAAAGTGAAAAGTGTGAAGGAGAATGTACGGAGGGAGTATTTATAGGCTACCGGGAACTAGCCGTTGGAATATAGCCGTTGGAGAATACGGTTGGCCTTTTCAACATTAACTGTGTTCACACTGTTAGCAGGGGGCTCAATTTTGGGTAAAATTTTGAAGGTTTCTGAGAACAAGAGTTGGCTTTTTGGAATCCTTGATATTAGGGGATCAAGATGATGTATGTCACTTGTTGAGATTCCATGAACATTTGTCAGAAATTGAGCCAACTGCTGGTCTGAAGTAGTGCCCTGCTCCTGAGGCAGTCACCTGCTGGCAGTCACCTGCGCGAAATCTTGAACCAGTGTTTTTACCTCCATTTGCCTTCCTTCTCTTTTTAGTCCTTTTCCTTCTTTTTGAGAAAGTGTGCATTTTCTTCCATTATACAAGTAGCAGTGGGCTAGTAGTCAGTCGCCTGCTGAGCCCACTGCTTGCTAGGATGCAGTCAACTGCTGAGCCAATTTTGTGAATTTTGACTCCTTTTGATCTTGATATATTGATAGTGACTTATTTGGACCTTTATGCTTCATTCCTTTGATGTTTTGAGTAGCTTACCTTTAGCAGGTGGCTACTCGTGAGTACTTCACAGAAATTCCCCCTCAGCAGGTGGCTAGGAATTCCCCCTTAATTTTGGAATCAAATTCCTCCTGAGTTGATGCATGATTATTCCTTCACTTGATCTAGATCATCTAACATTCCAAGCTCTTGCCTTAGTTGGTTGAATCTAGCTTCATTCAATGGCTTGGTGAAGATGTCAGCCAACTGCTTATCTGTGGGGATGTACTCAAGCTTGATGGTTTTCTTCTCAACATGCTCCCTGATAAAGTGATGCATGATCTCAATATATTTGGTTCTTGAATGAAATACCGGATTATGAGTGATAGCAAAAGCACCAGTGTTATCACACAGTATGCTAATCTCCTTTGTTTCTTCTCCATAATCCCTCAATTGTTGTTTCATCCATAGTATTTGTGCACAGCAGCTGCCTGCAGCTATGTATTCAGCTTCAGCAGTGCTAGTAGCAATTGAGTTTTGTTTCTTGCTGAACCAAGAGACAAGTATTCCACCAATTAATTGACAAGTACCTGAGGTACTTTTTCTATCAATTTTGCATCCAGCATAGTCTGAGTCTGAGTAGCCATAGAGTTCAAAACCTCCATTTGTTGGGTACCATAATCCAGAGTTAGGATTACCTTTTAGATACCTCAAAATCTTCTTTGCAGCTAGAAGATGGCTTTCCTTAGGTTTTGATTGAAATCTTGTACATACACAACCTGAGTAGGATATGTCTGGCCTACTAGTGGTGAGATATAATAAGGATCCAATCAAACCTCTATAAAGTGTAGGATCAATATCCTTGCCATCTTCATCATTACTTAGACCTTGTGATGTGTTCATGGGTATCTTGACTGTAGACTTGTTCTCAACTTTGAACTTTTTCATGAGATCTCTTGTATATTTGGCTTGGTTGATGAAGATACCTTGAGGAGTCTGCTTTACTTGTAGTCCCAGAAAATATTTCAACTCTCCCATCATGCTCATTTCAAATTTGCTTTGCATGAGAGTTGAAATTTTTCACATAGTGCTTGATTTGAGCTTCCAAAAATTATGTCATCAACATAGATTTCAAAAAGCAGTATGTGGGGACCTTCTTCTATTTTAAACAGAGTTTTGTCTACTTTTCCCTTAGTGAATCTATTATTCACTAAGTATTCAGAGAAAGTGTCATACCATGCTCTTGGGGTTTGCTTGAGTCCATAAAGAGCCTTGTGTAATTTGTAGACTTGATCCTTCTCTCTATTGATTTCAAAACCAGGAGGTTGCTCCACATAGACCTCCTTTTCTAGTAGACCATTTCGGAAGGCACTTTTCACATCCATTTGATAGACTGTGAATTTCTTATGAGCAGCATAGGCCAAGAAGATTCTTATAGCTTCCAGTCTGGCAACAAGAGCAAAGGTTTCATCAAAATCTATACCTTCTTCCTGGCAGTAGCCTTTGGCTACCAATCTTGCCTTATTCTTGACTATGGTGCCTTCCTCATCCATTTTGTTTCTGAATACCCATTTAGTTCCTATCACATGTTGATGATAGGCTCTGGGTACAAGCTCCCATACATTGTTTCTCTCAAACTGATTGAGTTCCTCTTGCATGGCCTTTATCCAGTCTGAGTCAAGTAGGGCTTCTTCAACTTTCTTGGGTTCAATTTGAGAGATGAAGCATGAGAATAGTGTTTCTCTCTGAATTGCTGATCTGGTACGAACCCCGGTATTGATGTCTCCAATTACTTGGTGAGGAGGATGTTTATTCATCCATCTGATGTCAGATGTTTTTGTTTTGGTTAGAATTTGAGTATCCTCCTCCTCCTCTTCTTCTTCTTCACTATCATCTGGTAGAATAGGAAAGTTGAGGATGTCACGAGTGCCTGGAAGGTTGTCTTTTGGTGAGTCACCTGCTGGTAGTGGGCTGACGGTTGAGTCAACTGCTGACAGTGGGCTGCCATTTGAGTCAACTACTGGCAGTGGGCTGCCGTTTGAGTCAACTGCCTTTCTATCTTTTTGAACACTATTATTTTGAAGTCAGCTTGGAGCATTTCTAGTGTCCCTTGATTTGGATGACTCACATTCATCCCTTAATTGAGGAGTGGGGTGATTTTCAAACACCACAAGGATTGATTCTTCTACCACCAGAGTTCTTTTGTTGAGAGTCCGAAATGCCTTGCTAGTTGTTGAGTAGCCCAGGAAGATCCATTCATCAGATTTGGGATCAAATGGCTTGAGATAGTCTTTTCTATTGTTTAGGATAAAACATTTGGATCCAAACACATGGAAATGACTAACATTAGGCTTCCTTTCTTTCCATAACTCATATGATGTCTTCTTGTGAATCTTATGAATAAGACTTCTATTTTGAGTGTAGCAAACCGTGTTGATTGCTTCTGCCCAAAATGTTTTGGGTAACCCAGCTGCTTCTAAAATTGTCCTTCCTGCTTCCTTGAGTGTCATGTTCCTTCTTTCACCAACACCATATTGTTGAGGTGTTCTTGCTGCTGAGGTTTGATGATGAATTCCATTTTCTTCACAGTACTGAATTATGATGGAGTTGAGAAATTCAGTATCTCTATCTGACCTGATCTTCTGGATTGAGAGACTCTTCTCATTTTGAATTAGCCTCATCAATTCAGGAAGTTTCTTCTCTGTTTCATTCTTCTTCTTTAAAAATATGGTCCAAGTGTATCTAGAATAATCATCAACTACAACCAGGGTGTACCTTCTACCACTTAAGCTTGTTGGTTCAACTGGTCCAAACAAGTCAAGGTGTAATAGGCTTAAGGGCCTAGTTGATGATTCCACTTCTTTTGATTTGAATGATACCTTGGTTTGTTTTCCTTTTTGACAAGCATCACAGAGGTGGCCCTTTTTGAAGTTGATTTCAGGGAGTCCTTTCACCAATCCTTTTCTGAACAGTTTGTTGATTGTTTTGAAGTTTAGATGGCTTAATTTGTTGTGCCATTCCCAACTTAAGTTTGAATCTGCCTTGTCACTAAGCAGATTCCTTCCTTTGCTGAGCTCCAATCAACAATGTACATGTCCTTCTTTCGTCTACCAGTGAGCACAATTTTGTCATTTTTGACATCTCTGATCAAGCAGATGTCTTTGGAGAATGTAAAATTATAGCCATTGTCACAGAGCTGGCTTGTGCTTATGAGATTGAACTTTAAACCCTTAACATAGGATATGTTTTGGATTGTAAGTCCATTAATTGATAGGTCTCAAAGCTCCTTTGGTTTCTCCTTGTTTTTCCACATTCCCAAATGTTACTTTGGGTCCTTCCCTTGCTGTATAGTTTGACAGGAGCCGCCTGCTGTCCGTCATGTGCCTGGAGCAGCCTGAATCTATGTACCATGTTTGTGTTTCAGCTGCTCCAGCACCTTCCTGTATAGATTAATGTTGAGCAGTAGCCCACAAGTTAGTGGGCGACTTCCCTTGTACAAGTTTGGGCATACATGCCCATCTATAACCATTGAGTTCTAAGCAGATTGGTCTATAGCCATTTGAGGTGTTGTAATCAAAAGGAATGGCTATATACTTGTTAATCCTTTTCCTTCTTGAAGTGGAGAGTGGATTATTGATTTGAGGGGTCTGCTTGGTATTTTGATTGTGGTTGGTCTTATTGATTGGTTGCCAACTGGTTCTTGGGTTTAGATGGTGAGGGGTTGTTGATTTATACATGTGTTTGGATTTTGGTTTGGGAGCAGGTTGGTTCCTTCTTTTGGGAACATTTGGGGAATGAGTTTTTTGGTAGATTAGCTTTCTTTGTTTGATTTTTGGCTTTTAGATGTACAATTTTGAGTGAGTCTAGTGGGGGATGAGTAACCAAAACATCTTCTCTTCCTATTTAGAGTAACTTCAGCGGTATTTTGAAACCAGAGAGCCTGACTTGATATTTTGAAACCAGAGAGAGAATCTCTCTCCTGGCGACATTTTCGTCCCAGTTCTTTTTGTCCGTACAGGTTATGCGAGGATGATTCTATGGATTCTTGAGGATTCCAGCTTGAATTTTTTATGTTACTAGGCCGATTCTCACCTCCGTTTCCAACTCCACTTCTGGATTTGAAATTGGAATCGTGTATTTCGACCAATAGCTCAACCTCGCGCTGGATTTTCGCAGTTACTGTTCACAATCGCAGACGGCTGTGTATGCTCTGAGGTTCGTTTTTCAGGGTATTTTTGATTTCAGTGTGTTTCGTTTTCAGTTTCTTGTCCCAATTCCAACCCCATTCACTGCGAAACGAAGACTCCCAGTTTAGGGATTTGTTGCTTTTGACTTGGTCCGCTATGTGATCTACTATATACGAGCTTGGCCTGCGACTTTGATGAAGAGAAGGTCACTGGGGTTGGGGGAAGCTTCCATGGAAAGAACCACCGGGTCTTCTTCTAGGTTCACAGTGCTGCAGGCCATGGAGGTCGATTTCCCTCCTCTGAACTCTCTGAAGTCTGCTGTGAAGAAAAAATCTGGGAAAACTGGTGCACACGTTGGGAACCCCTCCAGTATGGTACATGTACTTGAAACAATGGAATTGCAGCTTGAAAATCATGCCTCGGCTGCCAAAGATACTGGAAATTCTGGGAAGAAGCACCCTGCACAGGTGATGTCTGTTTCGACTGCTACTGGGCAGACCTCCTCTCAGTTTAAGCTGGGACCTGACGCCACTGCTTCTGGTCAGTCTGCCAGCTCCCCTCCTTTGGTGCCGACTAAGGTAACTGCAAACAACCTTTTGTCAAACCTGCTCAAGCACTCCCTAAAGAGGCTAAAATGGTTAATAAACCATGGAATGCTCTCTTTAAGATAACCGTGCTCCATCTCTTGGGATTAAATTGAGATATGTCCCTCCAAAAGGTGATGTTGTGGACCTTGCTGATATGGTTATGCCTACCATGATTGAGATGTGGGGATACTGTTTAGTTTGTTTCTTAACAGGTCGATTCCCTGGACTTAAAGCTGTCCATGAAATAATAGCAAAATGGGGAGTTAAATATTTGGCGAGGTCCCATGATAAGGGTTGGATTATTTTTAAATTTCAGAACGAAGAAGATAGATTGAAACTTGAAAGTGCTAAAGGAGGGACCTTACTCTATTTTTGGGAAATCACTTGTGACACTTCAAAAAATTTAAATTAAAATAAAAATAATTTTTAATCAGATAAAAATATTACGAAAATAACATTTTAATTATTAATTGAGTCAGACAAAAATTCAACAGTCGTAACATTCTAATCAGATAAAATTTCCAAGTTCACGATTTTTAATCAGATAAAAATGGCCCGATAATAGAAGTTACGTTTTAGTATAAAATTAATTTTTATAACTATTTTAGGTTGTATAATATACAAAGTATAAACTAAATAATTAAAATAATCATAATACATATATATATATATATATATATATATATATATATATATATATATATACGTAAGTAATAATAATAGTATAACATACGTATATATAATACTATACCTACGTACTACTACATACATATACTCCTAATTAAAAATATACATACGTACGTATATATAATACTATACCTACGTACTACTACTCCTAATTAAACTAAAAATATACATACGTACAATAGAAGTAAACTCCTACGGGAGATAAACTACTCCCGGTAGGTTTTGTTGGCCGGCAACTTCAACTCCAACTCCAACTCCAACTCTAACATCCCAGCCTAAAACCCTCATCTTTCCCTATAAATAATAGGCCAGAACCTACGTTTTCTTCATCCCAAAAAACTAAGAAATATACAAATATACGTATATATATATATTTTTACGACCCAGCGTTTTAGCCAAAACCAAGCCTTGAAAATACTTCTCAAACCTTCCTCTTCGTAATACGAATCCAACGGAAAAAGAATCGTCGAAAACGGTCGTGAAACGAGGGAGAAAAGCCTCGCCGGAGTTTCGCCGGGGAAAAACATTTCGACGGAAAACGGAGAAGAGGGAGGAGCTGCCGCCGCCGCCGTACCACCTCTGACCTTCGCCGCCCTGCTACCACCGTTTTCAGCCGTTTTGCTCGTCCAAACGAGGTGAGTTCTCCCCCCCCCCTGTTTTTCCCGTTTTTCCGGCGATGTAACGAGGAAGACAACCCAGCTGAGCTGGGGCCCCTCTTGGGCCTGATTTTTTTGGGCCAGAAAATTAAACTTGGGCCAGTTCGGCCCAGTTGCAATAAAAATTAAAAATAAAATAGTAAATGAAATAACTAAAATCTGGAAAAATATAAATTAAATACCTAGTATAAATATACATATTCGGACCAACCAGAATTGAAAAATAATATTTTTAGCTATTTTTAATTGAATTAATAGTAATTGGGCCAATTTATACACATTTAGTAAATAATTAACTAAATGACGAAAATAATTATGAAATAAATATTGGAGTAAACTAGGATAAATATATGACTAACTAGGACCTTATGGACCATTTATAATTAATAAAAATAAGGTTTAGTATATTTAATTGTAATTAAACCGGTTAATAGATATATGAAATTAAAGGAATAATTATGGAAAATAATTATAAAATAGATACCTGGACAACCTAGGTCGAATATAGACCCAAAATATATTTATGGACGGTTACTAATTTATAATGTCGATTTTTAGTCCATTTATTTAAATTAGGCCATATAAAACTAGTTAAGTAATTAAATAAGGAAATATTAGTATTAATGGTGAAATAAATAAATCCCTGAGGTTGAAAAATAATATTCTGGACTAAAAATAATGTTTGAATAAAATAAGGAAAATAAATATATTCGGTTATGTAAATAAAGTAATTAGATAATAATTAGAGTAAATTAATAGTGATTATTGAATAAAAATTGGATGTTGTAGTCAATAATATTCGGATATTTTATTTAATATTAGAATTCAAATATTATAATTAATGGCTGAATTAATAAGGTAATTTGATTAATAAAAAGTGATTAACCAAAGTAATGCGAATAATAATATAAAAGGAGAAAATCGGGTAAAGTAATTACAAATAGAATAAATGACTAATTTATCATATTTAATTAAAAAGGTGATTATCTAGAGACCGGATTAGAGGAGGATAACTAGGAGCAACAGGACTTAAGGTAAGTTTCTCTGCCAATCCAAAATCGTTTCCTCGTATTATATGCTTATTATGTATTATGTGATTAAGTGTGAATTGTGAATTTTGTGTATGTGATTTTGAGAAGATATTATATATATGGTAGTTAAGAAGTATAAATCAAGTACTTTTGGGGTGTTAAATATTTTTAAATACCTTTGAGACTTTTTAGAGAAATTTAGAAGTATTTTTGAAGTATTGTTAAGCAAAGATCAAATTTACATTTTCATAAGAAGATAGCATCTCGGGAGTAATCCGAGGTGTCGGTTTTTCCACATCCGGATAAATGTGGAGGATGATTAGAGCTACTACTACTAAGAAGTACAGTTTGGATCTATGATCCCTTTTAAGTAAGATTTGGATCTATGATCCCTTTTAAGTAAGATTTGGATCTATGATCCCTTTTAAGAAGAAGTTATAGTAGTAGTCCCTAATCATTCAAGAATTTTAGAATTGGGGTGGTTGGGTTCCGACCACTCGGGATGACTTACTACTCGGAGGGCTTGGAATCCCTTTGAGGGGGTGTGCACACTTAAGGTAGTCGTTTCGTTTCCAACAGAGCAGTTGTGGTACCGGCACTTGTTCGGGGTGGCCGTCCGTAACCACGGTCCACCGGGCTCTATCGAAAGGTTGAGCACCGCCCTTCTAAATTACTAGGAAGTTAGAGAAGAAGTGTTTTTTTTAGAAGTTTAAAAAGAAGAGTTACTAAGAGATTTTCCAAGAGAAGTTTCAGATTTTAGCAAAGAAGTGATTTTAAGAAAAATCAAAGAGAAAAGTATTTTGGAAGAGTGCGTCATTTTTATATGATATTATATAAAAATCTATTTTTAGTCAAACCTGATTATTTTACGGGGTTGGGTAGTACTTACTTAGCTCTAAAGCTAATTTTTGTTATTTTTCTTGTCTCTCTCTTCTCCCTTAAATTTTATCAGGTGATGAGTTGGATACCTATGTGGATTGACGGATTGCTCGAGCTTGAGTGCGAATTAGAAGATGCCTTAGTTAAATCTAGTCATAAAACAAACATTTACTTATTATTACATTAGTTTTTATTGTTTTACTTTGAGTTGCCTGTGCATTCGGTTAAGAGATGACCGGATGTGGCGGTAACACCCATTTCCCTTTTAGACTTCCGCTGTATTTCTTCAACTCTTTGATGAATGAATAAAGTATTTCTTTTAAATATGTCAATGTTTTGGGCGGGAAATTTAGGGGTGTTACAAATGTAATACCTAAGAATTTGAGTATTTAGATTTAGTTAATGTTTCGGGACGAAACATCTTTTAAGGAGGGTAGAATGTGACACTTCAAAAAATTTAAATTAAAATAAAAATAATTTTTAATCAGATAAAAATATTACGAAAATAACATTTTAATTATTAATTGAGTCAGACAAAAATTCAACAGTCGTAACATTCTAATCAGATAAAATTTTCAAAATTTATGACGTTTTAGTCCGATAAAAATACTTCAGTAATAAGAACAACATTTTAGTAAACTAGTGAACCAGACAGAAAATTTACATTTACGACATTTTTAATCAAATTGGTATCAGAGACTTAGGTTTTCCGAAAGGACTAGAACACGAGGTAATAGGTCGTAGGGAGAAATTCTGTCACAAAGACGATAACAGTCTAAGCTAGTTGGTGCATAATTGAGCCTTGCGCTCGTCCAACTAACTGGGAATTTCTCCTTGTGCTGAAACTTCGTTGTTCGAAATCTTTGACGAAAACTATAGTTTCGATGCGGGGATTTTCAAAATGTTTTTGTAAAATTAGGAGAATTAATATACTAGGAAAAGACCTGTTAGGAACGCGGTGAGGATATAATGTGAGATTTTCAAGTTATTGATTTATATGATTAAGTAGTGAAATTTATGTAGTTGCTTGCTCGTGTGAAATATATGAATTTTGATGACATCTTTGAATGTCTATATGTGTTAGAGCTTAGTATGGACCTAGTGAAGAACTTTGTGGTTCAAATAGTGTAGGGACTTTTTGAATGCCTTAGTATTTAAGAGACTTGTGAGAAAAGAAGAAAAGCGGTTAAGATGGTGAAGGTGTTGTGGTCTAACCATTTGGCCGAAAATGCCACATGGGAGACTGAAGAGGATATGCGCAAACGTTACCCAGAGTTATTTGACTAAGGTAAAATATTAGTTACGAGGACGTAACCTCTCTTTAAGGGGGGTAGAATGTAATACCTAAGAATTTGAGTATTTAGATTTAGTTAATGTTTCGGGACGAAACATCTTTTAAGGAGGGTAGAATGTGACACTTCAAAAAATTTAAATTAAAATAAAAATAATTTTTAATCAGATAAAAATATTACGAAAATAACATTTTAATTATTAATTGAGTCAGACAAAAATTCAACAGTCGTAACATTCTAATCAGATAAAATTTCCAAGTTCACGATTTTTAATCAGATAAAAATGGCCCGATAATAGAAGTTACGTTTTAGTATAAAATTAATTTTTATAACTATTTTAGGTTGTATAATATACAAAGTATAAACTAAATAATTAAAATAATCATAATACATACATATATATATATATATATATATATATATATATATATACGTAAGTAATAATAATAGTATAACATACGTATATATAATACTATACCTACGTACTACTACATACATATACTCCTAATTAAAAATATACATACGTACGTATATATAATACTATACCTACGTACTACTACTCCTAATTAAACTAAAAATATACATACGTACAATAGAAGTAAACTCCTACGGGAGATAAACTACTCCCGGTAGGTTTTGTTGGCCGGCAACTTCAACTCCAACTCCAACTCCAACTCTAACATCCCAGCCTAAAACCCTCATCTTTCCCTATAAATAATAGGCCAGAACCTACGTTTTCTTCATCCCAAAAAACTAAGAAATATACAAATATACGTATATATATATATTTTTACGACCCAGCGTTTTAGCCAAAACCAAGTCTTGAAAATACTTCTCAAACCTTCCCCTTCGTAATACGAATCCAACGGAAAAAGAATCGTCGAAAACGGTCGTGAAACGAGGGAGAAAAGCCTCGCCGGAGTTTCGCCGGGGAAAAACATTTCGACGGAAAACGGAGAAGAGGGAGGAGCTGCCGCCGCCGCCGTACCACCTCTGACCTTCGCCGCCCTGCTACCACCGTTTTCAGCCGTTTCGCTCGTCCAAACGAGGTGAGTTCTCCCCCCCCCCCCCCTGTTTTTCCCGTTTTTCCGGCGATGTAACGAGGAAGACAACCCAGCTGAGCTGGGGCCCCTCTTGGGCCTGATTTTTTTGGGCCAGAAAATTAAACTTGGGCCAGTTCGGCCCAGTTGCAATAAAAATTAAAAATAAAATAGTAAATGAAATAAATAAAATCTGGAAAAATATAAATTAAATACCTAGTATAAATATACATATTCGGACCAACCAGAATTGAAAAATAATATTTTTAGCTATTTTTAATTGAATTAATAGTAATTGGGCCAATTTATACACATTTAGTAAATAATTAACTAAATGACGAAAATAATTATGAAATAAATATTGGAGTAAACTAGGATAAATATATGACTAACTAGGACCTTATGGACCATTTATAATTAATAAAAATAAGGTTTAGTATATTTAATTGTAATTAAACCGGTTAATAGATATATGAAATTAAAGGAATAATTATGGAAAATAATTATAAAATAGATACCTGGACAACCTAGGTCGAATATAGACCCAAAATATATTTATGGACGGTTACTAATTTATAAAGTCGATTTTTAGTCCATTTATTTAAATTAGGCCATATAAAACTAGTTAAGTAATTAAATAAGGAAATATTAGTATTAATGGTGAAATAAATAAATCCCTGAGGTTGAAAAATAATATTCTGGACTAAAAATAATGTTTGAATAAAATAAGGAAAATAAATATATTCGGTTATGTAAATAAAGTAATTAGATAATAATTAGAGTAAATTAATAGTGATTATTGAATAAAAATTGGATGTTGTAGTCAATAATATTCGGATATTTCATTTAATATTAGTGATAGAGTATATCTCCTGAATTCTAGAGAGAAGTGAGAGCTAGAGAGAGAAGTGCAATAATATGCTTCAATAGAATGAATTTGTAACCCCTATAACTACTCCCAAGGGGAGTATTTATAGAGAAAATTAGGGTTGGGCTCCCAAGCCTTGGGCTTGGGAGACCCATTTACAACTGGACCGCTACTGGGCCGAATACAAAGCCTCTAATGGGCTGTACAAATGAGTAAGTATAGGATCCGATTCTGGGAGGTCTTTGAGGCCGACGAGGGCGTGGCCGACGAGGGCACGGCCGACGAGGGCGCGGCCGACGAGGGCACCCGAGTCCCTTAGACTCAGGACCGTAATCGGGGTTGGCACCTTTTCGGCCGACGGGGGCGTCATGGCCGACGAGGGCGCCACTCTGTTGTCTTGTGCTCTGTTCTTCCGAGTATGTGGGTCCTGGGGCTCAGACCCATATACTCCATCAGGAGTCTCCCACTCTCTAAGCTGAGACGTAGACGAAGTGAAGGAGAGTAGATTTCTGTGCTTTGTCGCTTTTGGCCGACGCGGGCATTTCCAGGCCGTTAGCAGTTGCGGCGTTGGCGTTGTTTTCTCTTTGGTGATCCTGTTCTGTGCCTTGGCCGTTACCTGTTCCTCGCTGTGGCGGGGAGGCCGTTGTTTCCTTAATTTGTTTTGGGACGATGAGTGTCCTTCTTTCAATGGTGGCCGTTGAGGGTGCGCTTTCCCTTTACTGGCCGTTGGTGGTTGAAGTTTATGCTTGGGCCGGTGAGGTCGTTCCTTGCTTTGAGGACGATGGCGTCCTTTCCTTTGGGTGGCCGATGAGGGTGCTCGCGCACTCCTTTTGGCCGTTGCTGGTTGGCCTTCGTGTTCTTGGCCGAAGGGCCCGTCAAGATTAGTTGTTTGGCGGAGGACGATGAGTGTCCTTGCCTCTAGTGGTTTGTTGGCCGTTGCTAATGACGTTTTGGGCCTTTGGCCGATGAAGTTCCGTTGTGTTGTGTGGATGATGTGGCCATGTTTTGTGGTTACCTTGTTTATACCTTTGTTTCGTTGAGGCCGGTGTAGTCCCCCAGTCCCCCACTGCTTCAGGCCGAAGAGTGTGAGGGGTGAAGGAGTTGCTTGAGTCCCTGGCCGAAGCGGTCTCGCCGTAGTCCCCCTGAATCCAACTCTCATGGCGATTTTCTGGCCAAGGTAACCCTGTGGGAGAACCCTTGTGCGCAGATCGCTTGTAGAGAGTTATCATCGAGGGTTATTACGAGGAGCCGAAGGCTGTGGGCTATTTGTTCCCTTTGTTCTGTGGCCGTCACGTACCTGGCCGTTGCCATCCTCTTATTGTTTGGCATTTGTGATATTGGTGAGCAAGTGGGACGTTATGGGCGCTTGCTGGCAGTTGTAAAGTCGTTGAGCGTGTGTAGGCCGTAGAGTCTGGTTTGCCAGTGGGCCGTTGATATGGGTTGGTCCTGGCCCGTTGGTGACGTGGTGGCCCCCCAGTGGTGGCCGTTGATGTGGCCATTGGGTGAGTGCCACGTGTAGTGACCGTTGGTGGGGGGTCTATAAATACCCCTTCCCCTCCGACGGAGAATCACATTTGCATTCTGAATTTGTCGAAGTGCTGGCCGATTTTCTAGAGAGATAAACTCCCAAGCCTGTTCTTCGTGTTCTTCGTTGTTTGAGGTTAGTGTTTATCACGATCTTCCTCACTTTTTATATTTTGCTCCGTAAGTAGTTGATCTAGTGTTAGGCGTTTAAACACCTTTAGATCGTAAGTTGTTCTCCTTAAGTCCGTAAAAGTAGTGATGAAGAGCTTGAACGAGGACTACTACCCCTACGACGATCAGCCCTCCACGAGGTCCCTTGACTACGAGGTGCTCGAGGAGTTTGAAGAGGAGATAGAGCGTTTGAGCCCCTACAAATCCGTAGAGCTGATGGACGAGGAGATCGAGGACGAGGAGTCCGCCTCCTCTTCAGAGGGTGAGGACGTAGGCGCGTCCCGAGCGGTGGACGGGGCGTCCACTTCTGCTGCCGTTCCGTGCCCGAGGCCGGTATCTGCTGTGAAGGGCGCAACGAAGTCGAAGAGGGTGAGGAGGCCGAAGAATGGGCCGGGTCTCTCCTACTTGGACCTTACCAACATATTCCTGATTAAGCCGGAGAGCAGTGAGGCTGACTACCTTGTCGCCCAGATGTACGTGGGGCCGTTCGGGCGGGTTAGGGCACCCAGGCCGACGGACCATGTTCTACTTCCGCCACCGGGATACTTCGGAGTATACCCGATGAGTTTTGCTAAGGGGTTGAGGTTCCCCCTTCACCCTTTCGTCACCGAGTATCTGGACATGGTGGGGCTTCCTCCGGCCCTGCTGACGCCGAACAGTTATTCCTTGATAGTGGGCTTCTTGCTTCGGTGTGAGGAGTTGGGCTACAGGCCGACCACGGCCTTATTCATGAACTTGTACCAGATCGGCCGAGGAAGCCACAAGAACTGTGCGGCCTATGCCACTCTTCAACAGCTGCCGAGGAAGAGGAGCTTCACGAATTTGCCTACGTCCATTCATGGGTGGAAGAGCAAGTTCGTGTTTGTGTCCATTGGTGAGAGTGGCACCGAGTTCCCCTCCCTCGGCCATACCGGGAGGTTCAACCTTCATGACCCACCGAAGAGCTCTATTCTGGACGCTCAGGTGGAGGCTTTCCTGGAGGGGGGGCCGAGGAGCGTGAAAGATTACGTCACTGAATACAAGATGACGGCCCTCGGCTTCTTCAGATATCACTTGTATGGAGATAAGGAGGATGACCTCCAACTCTGGCCGAGGATGACCACCACCTTTGAGGAGGCCGATGGCCCGCCTTTGGGCATTCCTGCTGAGGCCGATGGTAATTTTTCTTCGGCTTTCTGTCTTTACGTTTTGTCCTTTGCCTTACTAATCTGTTTTTGCTTTTCCCTTGTAGATTTTGTCATGGACCGCCGTTCCATGATGGCTATTGCAAAGGCCAAAGCGGCCGAGGAGATTGCTGCTAAGGCGGCCGAAGCGGCCAGGCGTGCCGCGGCCGGTGTGAGCGGGGCTACTGCAGATGCGGCCCCAAAGCCTGCCCCGTCCAAGAAAAAGAGACCGGCCACTGACGGCCAAAAAAAGTTGACCGAGGCCGGCGTGAGCGTCTCTAAGAAGACGAAGAGGGCTCCTTCCCCTTCTCCTGCCAGTGAGGCCGGTACGCTTACTGTCCCCAGCGTGGGCGATGGTGGTCCCGTCGTGGACCTTACTGTTGCTGATGGTGCCGCCCCAGCGCTTCCTCTCGTCCAGGAACCACGGACGCAGAGGGCCGGCAAGGAGGTTGTCGGTGCCACCTATCAGAAAGTGATAGAGTACCCCGTCGGCGGGGGCGTGTTTAATGAGCTCGTCCCCGGCCATGTCGTCCTGGCCAAGGCCATGCCGGCCAAAGATCGGGCTCATCTGAAGAAGCTCGAGGACCCGAAGATTTACGAGGGTGGCATGGATCTCCTCGTCCAAGTAAGTGATTGTCCTTATATCCTTGTCTTTCTTCGGCTATGTAGAGTTTTTGCCTGACCTTGGTTTTTCTTCTGCAGAGTGCCTTCATGCTTATGGAAAGCCATAAGAGGCAGTACTGGGAGATTGCCCGCCTGCAAGCACTGGAGCAGAAGGCTGCCTCGGCCGACGAGGCGGTAGCTTGCCTTGACCGGCTTCGGGAGGATGCCAAGGCGCTGCAGGCCAAAGCTGATGAGGCCGTCGCGGCCAGGGACGTTGCCCTGGTCCAGCTCGAAGAGAGCAAAAGGGAGCTCGCAGAGTCCCGTAGAGCGCTTGAGGCCGAGAAGCGCAGGAGCGAGGAAGCCGCCAAGGCGAAAGCTGAGGCCGAAGCCGCCGTCGTGAGGGCTGCCGATGAGGCTGTTGAGAAGTTCTTGGCCGAAGGGTGGAAGGCCGATGAGAGGCTCCCCTGGTGCTACGAGGTGGTGGCCGCCAGGCTGGAGAATTGGGGGATGAACTCCCCTGCCGGCCGGGAGTATTTCAGCCAGGAGATGTCTGTTTACTACAACCTGGGCCAGGAGCGGATGCAAAGGCTCCTGTACCGGCGGCTATCCCGGGCGTTGAAGGCCATGAATTACACGGCTGGATGGGCTAGACGGAACCTGAAGCTCCCCAAGCTGATGAAGGATCCCGAAGGGCAGGCCACGCTTCCGCTGTCGGAGCGGGAGTCCCCCATAGAAAGCTCCGGCCTCGGCGAGCCGGACTATACTGAGTTCGATTTCTTGGATGATGCCACCAGCGCCGCTGCCGGCCAGGAAGCTGAGGCCGATGAGGAGGGGGCCGACGAGGTTGAAGAGGCAGCCCCGGAGGCTTGATCGGCTAGTCCCTATTGTAGTTAGCTTTTCTATTGTAGTTAGCTTTTCATTTGTTGCCCAATTATGTAATGGCCGTAGTGCCCCCCAATTGTAATGAATTTTATCAATTGAAGAAATTTTTGCTGTCCTTTTCGGCCTTGAATCCTTTGTGTGCTTGTTTGCTTTGTCATTTCAATTCTGTAAATTGTCCAAGTATCAAGTCATAACTTGGTCACCCGCGAGTGTCCGCTACGTCCGTGAGGTTGGCCTTCCCGTTTAGTAGTCTGGTCGGCCTATGCCTCTTTGCTTTACCGTCATAACACTTAGGATTTTGTTTCAAAAATTTCCCAAGTGTTTTTGGGTCCATGTAGCTCCTGTCTTTACGGCCTAGTGGCTTGATCGGCTTGGACGTAGTTTCATAACACTTAGGAATTTTTCAAAATTTTGCTAAGTGTTTCGGGATCCACTTAGGTGCTTTCCTTTCGGCCTGGTGGCCTGGTCGGCTTGACCAGTGTTCTTTTGCTATCATAACACTTAGGATTTTTTCACAAAATTTCCTAAGTGTTATTGATTCCTTTTAGGTGCTTCCCTTTTTAGCCCTGACCGCAGTGTCCGTTCCGTCCAGGCGTTGGCGTCCTTATCGTCCTGGCCTTGGATTCATCCCAGGTGTTTTAGCCAGGGCCGTTGTCGGCTTGTAACCCTGTGTTCTGGCCGATAAGGGCACCTTCACCATAGTCTTGTGGACTTTGAATTTTTCACATGTACACATGTAGAGGTGTAGGTGGTTAACGGCTTTGTAGTATACTGGTACCCGCTTCGGCTAGAATTCCTTCATTTGAGTACTTAGATAATTTCCAGAGTATAAATGTCAGGTATTTACGACTTTGCGGTGTCCTTGTCGGCCAAGGTCTGTCTTGTGGCCGATGAGGGTGCTGGATAAGGAGTAGCTTGTCCAAGGAGATGGTCCTGCCTTCGTCGGCTAGTCATGGTTCCAGTGCCTGCGTCGGCTATCCGAGGTGCGGTCGCAAGTAGAGGTTGCATCTTGATTACTTGATCCTTTCGCGGGTGTGATAAGTGCCCGCTTCGTCCCGGTCATCCTCCGGTTTGTGATGCTTTGTTTCATACCAAGCGTTGGTGCCTCAACGGACTATGGCCGATGAAGGTCACTTCTCGCGTGTCACCCAACCGATGTGGTTAGGGTTTCATAGGCGTGTGTCTCGGCCTTGATTGTTCCCTCATGGTGTGTGGACGTGTCGTCCATGCTACCTGTTAGTGGTACTAAACTTGTGTTCAACTGATATGTATTTGGCCAAAATGGACCTGAATTTGTGGGGATTTTATTTTTTCCTTGCTCGGGGCCGGCAAGTGTGCGCGGCCATCGGCTTCCCTCTTTTTCCCTCATATATAATTTTTTTTTTTTTTTTTTTTTTTCGGGGGGTATCCTTCTTTCAGGCTTCGGCCGAAGGGTGTGCTCGTCCTTCGGCCGGTTCGGACTTCGTTTATAACGTCCGTGGTCTCAGGGTGGGTCCCGTCGCCTATTTATGACGCGGGCTAGACTTTTGGTCGGTTTCCAACGGCTGTCGTTGCCCATCCCTGAGTTTTGGGATTTTGTCACCTCGGCCATGATTTCAGGCCTGTCGTCCTGCGATCTGGCGCGTGGACGACGCGGTGAGCTTCCCGTTTCAAGACGTGGGCCGTTTGCGGGCCCCTCGTCCTGGGGACATCGTCGGTCATACCTGAGCGTTTCACTTCTAGGCTTGCGGGGCCAGGACGATGTGCTCTCTCAGCTAGGCCTGAGCCCTTCGCTGATACAAAATACAATGGGGTGCCTGAGCTTGTCGCTCGTAGGCTGCAAATGCAAGGGGCCATGTCGGCCAGACCTGAGCCTTTCGCTCTAAGGTGGCCGACGAGGGCACCTGCTAATGTTTTTTTTTTTCCTTTAAATTCCAGAGAAAAAATCAGAACATGATTTTATTCATAAGTGGCTCGAGGCCGAGGGTGGCGTTCAATCAGTAACCCGTTAAGGGGTGAGGGCTTCGCCGTCTACACCTCCTTCGGATTACTGATAAAACTTCACCAGATGATGTACATTCCACGTTCGTGGTACATTGGACCCGTTCGGGCGTTTAAGCTTGTAGGTGCCGGGTTTGACCACGGCACTGACGATGTAGGGTCCTTCGTACTTCAATGCTAACTTGCCACCCTCTGTCGGCTGGCTTGCTTCCCTTCGGCGGAGGACGTAGTCCCCCACCTGAAATTCACGGGAACGTACCTTGGCGTCATAGTATGATTTTACTTGACGCCGGTAGTTCTCCGCTCGGACGTAAGCTTGTTCACGCCTCTCATCAACCAGGTGTAGGTCAATCTTCATGTTCTCTTCGTTGGTGTCAGGCTCATATTGTTCCACCCGCCGGCTGAGGATGGCAACTTTCGTGGGCGCCTTTGCTTCGAAGCCGTAGCATAGGGCGAAAGGCGTTTCACCTGTCGCCCTCCTCGGCGTGGTTCTGTAGCACCACAGGATGTTGGGGAGCTCGTCGACCCAACTACCTCCTGCGGCCTGGAGGTTCTTCTTCAGCCCCTCCATGATTGTTCTGTTGGCGTTCTCGACCTGCCCGTTGCCCTGAGGATAGGCAACGGAGGAGAAACGGTGCCTCACCCCAAACTCCCGGAGGAGCTCCTGGAAAGGGGCTGCCTCGAATTGGGTGCCGTTGTCTGATATAATCTCCTGGGGGACGCCAAAGCGTGTAATGATGCTCTTGTAAACAAATCTTTGGCATCTGGCCCCCGTGATGCTGGCTAAGGGTTCCGCCTCGACCCACTTGGTGAAGTAGTCGACGGCAACGATGATGTAGCGGTTATTCCCGGCGGCTCTGGGCAGGGGGCCGACCAGGTCAATCCCCCACCTGGAGAATGGAATTGCGGTGCTGACCGGGGCATAGTTGACAGCTGGCCGACCAGGGGCCTTCTGGAGTACCTGGCATGTGGTGCACTTCCTGGCCAGGTCAGCGCAGTCCCGTGCCATCGTCGGCCAGAAGAAGCCCTGGACGACGAGACGCCGGGACATGCTGAAAGGACCCTGGTGCGAGGAGCAGACGCCACAATGAACCTCTTCCATGGCGGTATCGGCCTCGTCCTGGTGCAGGCATCGGAGGAGAGTGCCATTGTAGGACCGTTTGTAGAGTTTGCCATCTTCTATGGTGTAGCTTGGGGCCCTGAGTTTGGCAAGTTTGGCCCTCTCCTCGTCCGGGGGCAACTCCCCCGTCGTGATGAAGGTGGCGATGTCGTAGATCCAGTCCTCTGGTCGCTGTTGGACGCTCAAGACGGGGCTGGCATGGATGCTGGACATGCTCAACTCCTCGATCTTGGCCAACTGGGAGATGTGCTCCGGGGTGTCCGAGCTGAGCTTGGAGAGGATGTCGGCTTCGGTGTTCTCGGCCCTTGGGATCTGGGTGATCTCGTGGGTTTCAAACGCTTTCAGCAATTCCTCCGCCGCTTGTTTGTACTGCTTCATCCGGCCTTCCTTTGCTTCGTACGATCCCTCCACCTGGCCCACTACCAGTTTGGAATCGCACTTGATTCTGAGGTGCTTGGCCTTGAGACCGGCGGCGAGTCTGAGACCGCTGAGGAGGGCCTCATACTCGGCTTCGTTGTTGGATACCCTGAAGTTGAAGCGGATGGCATAGTAGGCTCTGAATCCTTCAGGGGATATGAGGACGACGCCGCCGCCGCATGATTTCGCGGCCGACGAGCCGTCAGTGAACAGGGTCCACGTGTCGTCCGGCTCCGGCCCGGGGTTGGCGACGACCGTCTCCCTTGCTGTGCATTCGATGACGAAGTCGGCCAAGGCCTGCCCTTTGATAGATGGCCTTGGCTTGATCTCGATCTGAAACTGGCTGAGGAAGATCGCCCATTTCACCATCCTCGAGGAGCTAGTGGGGCTCCTCATGAGCGCGCCGAGAGGCTGCTGGGTCAGCACATGGACGGTGTGGGCTTGGAAATAGTGCCCCAGCTTCTTCACGGTGTGGACGATGGCCAGCACCGTCTTCTCAATGGGGGAGTACCTGAGCTCGGCCTCCCTGAGTGTCTTGCTGATGTAGAAGATGGCCTTCTGCACCCCTTCGTCCTCACGGATGAGCACGGAGCTGATGGCCGACGTGCTCACCCCCAAGTACAAGAAGAGGGTTTCGCCGGCTTTGGGCTTGGAGAGTACGGGTGGGGACGACAGGTACCTTTTCAATTCGTCGAATGCTTCCTGGCACTCCGTCGTCCACTTGAAGCTGTTTGCCTTGCGCATGATCTGGAAGAAGGGAAGTGCCCTCTCAGCTGACCTGGAGAGGAAACGGTTCAAGGCCGCCAGGCGCCCCGTCAGTCGTTGTACCTCCTTGACGTTGCGGGGCGGCTCCATGTTGATGATAGCCCGCGTCTTCTCCGGGTTTATCTCGATGCCTCTCCGGCTGACCATGTAGCCAAGGAACTTGCCGCCCTGGACGCCGAAGGCGCACTTCTTGGGGTTAAGGCGGAGCCTGAACTCCTTCATGATTTCAAAGATTTCCCGGAGGTCGTCGGCGTGGGAGGTGGCCTGCCTGCTCTTGACGATCATGTCGTCGACGTACGCCTCCATCGTCCGGCCAAGGACCGCTCTGAAGATTTTGGCCACCATCCTAGTATAGGTGGCGCCGGAGTTTTTGAGTCCGAAGGCCATGACGAGGTAGCAAAATATTCCCTCTGGGGTCATGAATGCCGTCTTCTCGGCGTCATCTTCGTGCATAAAGATCTGGTGGTACCCTCTGAAAGCGTCGAGGAACGACATCAACTCGCACCCCGCCGTCTCGTCCACCAATTGATCAATGTTGGGGAGAGGGAACGGGTCCATGGGGCACGCCTTGTTCAGGTCAGTGTAGTCAACACACATTCTGAACGTCGGCGGTTTCTGTGCGAGGACGACGTTGGCCAACCATGTTGGGTACTTCACCTCTTTGATATGTTTGATCGATAGGAGCATGGCGACCTCCCCTTTGACGAAGTCCCGCCTGTCAGCGGACAAGTAGCGCCGCTTCTGTTTGACGGGCGCGGAGGCCGGATCGACGGTCAGCCGGTGAGTGATCACCTGGCGGCTGATGCCGGGCATATCGTCCGGGCCCCACGCGAAGACAACGGCGTATGACCGTAGGACGAGGAGGATGGCGTCTCGTTGGTCTTGGGGGAGTTGCTTTCCGACCCTGAGAACCCGCTCCGGCCGGGAGGTATCCAGAGGGATTTCCTCGACCTCCTCGGCCGGCTCCGCATGTGGCCTCTCCTCGTCCATGGCGACGGCGGCCGTGATGGTGTCTATCCGCTGTCCTTCCCTTTCGGCCGGCCTCGTCAGCTTGAGGTAGCAAGCTCTGGCTATCCTCTGATTTCCTCTGGCGTAGCCGATGCCGTCATTGGTGGGGAACTTCAAACATAGGTGCTTCATGGAGATGATGGCCTCCAAGTCCTCCAGCGCTGGCCGGCCCAAGATCAGGTTGTGGGCGCACTGGAGGTTGACTACCATGAACTCCATGTTGATTTTGGCATGGTGGGGGCCGTCACCGACTTCCACGGGGAGGACTATCGTGCCCTCGGCGTCGATAGAGTCCCCGGTGAAGCCGGATAACGGGGTCTTGATCGGCTTCAGCAGAGCTCTGTCCAGCTTCAGCTGCTTGAAGGTGTCCAAGTACATCACATTGACGGAGCTCCCCGTATCGATATAAGTACGGTGGATGATGGAGTCCCCGATCTCACATCGGATGACGAGGGCGTCCCTGTGTGATTCCGTACCCGGAGGCAGATCCTTGTCGGTGAAGGTGATCGCCTCCCCAATGTAAAGGGATTGGGCCCACTTCTTTCTCTGAGTGGCGGAGTCCCCCCCAGTGTTTCCACCCACTATGAGGTGGATGTGATTCTTCTTCGGCGGAGGCTCCTCGAAGTCCTCGTCGTCGCTGAGTCTACCAATCTCCCGCTTCTTCGCAGAGGGTTCGCCCCCATGTTTGTCGGTGTTTACCCAAGTGTTCTTGCGCGGGCCACCTTTGACAAACTGGGAGAGTTCCCCCTGGCGAATAAGGCGCTCGATGGCCTTCTTCAATGTGATGCAATCGTCGGTGTTGTGCGACGAGTTCTTGTGGAACCGGCAGTATGTGCCGCCCTGTTGGGTGGCAAGGATCTCCTCGGCCGGCCGAGGAGCCTGCTCGATGAGGCCGTGCTTCTCGGCATAATCGAGGATGGTGCCGACCGGGTGGGTGAGGGTTACCCCCGGCCGTTCCAGCCTCGGCCGCCAGTGGCGGTCTTTCTTACTTTGTCCACCAGAGCCGTGGCGGCCCTGGGCACCCTGGCCGGCCGGGGACGGACCCGGGCCCGGCGAAGGATTTGTCTTCTTGGGGGGATGGCCCCCCTCTCTCTTGTGATTGTGGAGCTCGTCGGCGTCGGCATACAAGCCTCCGCGTTGGAGCGCCTTGGCGTACGACCTCGGGGGGTCAGTGATGAGGCTCCTGGCGTACGGGGAGCTGCGGAGGGCTCCCTGGTACAAGGCGAGGAGGGTGCGCTCATCGGCCCCCTCGACCTCCTCGGTCTCCCTCGTCCACCGATCGATGAATGACCGGAAGGACTCTTCGTGCTGCTGCTTGACGGAGAGGAGGTGGGTGAAATACTTCTTCGCGCGCTTCCTCCCGGCAAAGTGAGTGAGGAAGCGCTGGGCGAGATCCTGCCATGAGTCGATGCTCCCTTCTGGCAGCCCGTTGAACCACTCGTACGCTGGTCCTTCGAGAGTTGAGAGGAACCAACGGCAGATATATTCGTCGGACGCGTTCACCATCAGCATGTTGTTCTGGTAACGGCTGAAGTGCTCCTGGGGGTCTGATCGGCCATCATAGGACTTGATGGCGTTCCCCCTGTATTTCTCAGGGATGGGGGCCGAGAGGACCCTGTTGGTGAAAGGGGTCCTAGTCCTGACCTGGATGATGGGGTCACCCCGCCCTTCGGCCAGCTCCCTCTCCAGGGCGCTGACTTTGTTCATGAGCGCGTTGAGGCCGGGGTCGTTGGAGGCGCCGGCCGTAGGGACGTTGGCCGACTGCTTGGCCTCCATCTGAGCCAGCCTCCTCTCCAGCTGGGCGATGACCTCGTCCCGGGGGTCCCTGGTGGCCGTAGCGTCGCCTAGCTGGTTTCCCATGCGCTCGTTGTGAGCCGCATTGATCTGGTGACGCACGTCATCCTCGTGCAACTTTCCTTTGCCCTTGTCCGGGCGGGGTTGGTCCGCTGTCCGGGACACAGACCCCAAGCTTTCCCTCGGCGAGCCAGGACGAGGATCACCAATCCGTCCCGCCATCCTCTCCGAAACCGGACGACGGTGCGTGTCACCAAGCCTATTGAAGGCAGAGGTTTTTCCACGCGCTGGGGTCTGCCCGGGCCGAAGAGGGGAAGCAGGGTGGGAGTGGGACGACGCCGTGTCCTGGGCCACAACCCTCTCATTGTTGCCTATCTGGTCGGCCAGTGGTTGGGGACGAGGAGGCGGAGTGACGTTTCCCCCGGTCCTTGGCAAGAGTGCGCTGAGGACGGTGGGATTCTGAGCCAAGCTGGCGATGATAGCCGACAGTGCGGCCTGGACCTGAGGATCTACGGACGGAGAGGCCGCGGCCATAGGCTGGGCCGGGGCGTGGTCCGCTTTCTCAGCTCGTTTCTTTTCCAGGCCGAGGCGGGCGTCAAGGACTCCGCCGTTGAGTTGGTTGCGGAGGTCCGTCGTGAGGTTGAAGGCCTCCTGGAAGAGGTCCCCTCCGCCGACCTGGTCGGCCGTGGCGTCCTCATCGTGCTCCCTGGGCTCTTGGTCCTCAGGGATGACTTTGCTGACGAGGTTGCGGTTTGACTTAGTTCTCCCCATGATCAGTGGTCAGCTGTGCTTGGTAGCGACGAAGGGTGCTAACTTGATTGTTCTAGCTCTCAACGAGAGCACCAAATGATAGAGTATATCTCCTGAATTTTAGAGAGAAGTGAGAGCTAGAGAGAGAAGTGCAATAATATGCTTCAATAGAATGAATTTGTAACCCCTATAACTACTCCCAAGGGGAGTATTTATAGAGAAAATTAGGGTTGGGCTCCCAAGCCCAAGACTTGGGAGGCCCATTTACAACTGGACCGCTACTGGGCCGAATACAAAGCCTCTAATGGGCTGTACAAATGAGTAAGTATAGGATCCGATTCTGGGAGGTCTTTGAGGCCGACGAGGGCACGGCCGACGAGGGCGCGGCCGACGAGGGCACCCGAGTCCCTTAGACTCGGGACCGTAATCGGGGTTGGCACCTTTTCGGCCGACGGGGGCGTCATGGCCGACGAGGGCGCCACTCTGTTGTCTTGTGCTCTGTTCTTCCGAGTATGTGGGTCCTGGGGCTCAGACCCATATACTCCATCAATTAGAATTCAAATATTATAATTAATGGCTGAATTAATAAGGTAATTTGATTAATAAAAAGTGATTAACCAAAGTAATGCGAATAATAAAATAAAAGGAGAAAATCGGGTAAAGTAATTACAAATAGAATAAGTGACTAATTTATCATATTTAATTAAAAAGGTGATTATCTAGAGACCGGATTAGAGGAGGATAACTAGGAGCAACATGACTTAAGGTAAGTTTCTCTGCCAATCCAAAATCGTTTCCTCGTATTATATGCTTATTATGCATTATGTGATTAAGTGTGAATTGTGAATTTTGTGTATGTGATTTTGAGAAGATATTATATATATGGTAGTTAAGAAGTATAAATCAAGTACTTTTGGGTTGTTAAATATTTTTAAATACCTTTGAGACTTTTTAGAGAAATTTAGAAGTATTTTTGAAGTATTGTTAAGCAAAGATAAAATTTACATTTTCATAAGAAGATAGCATCTCGGGAGTAATCCGAGGTGTCGGTTTTTCCACATCCGGATAAATGTGGAGGATGATTAGAGCTACTACTACTAAGAAGTACAGTTTGGATCTATGATCCCTTTTAAGTAAGATTTGGATCTATGATCCCTTTTAAGTAAGATTTGGATCTATGATCCCTTTTAAGAAGAAGTTATAGTAGTAGTCCCTAATCATTCAAGAATTTTAGAATTAGGGTGGTTGGGTTCCGACCACTCGGGATGACTTACTACTCGGAGGGCTTGGAATCCCTTTTAGGGGGTGTGCACACTTAAGGTAGTCGTTTCGTTTCCAACAGAGCAGTTGTGGTACCGGCACTTGTTTGGGGTGGCCGTCCGTAACCACGGTCCACCGGGCTCTATCGAAAGGTTGAGCACCGCCCTTCTAAATTACTAGGAAGTTAGAGAAGAAGTGTTTTTTTTTAGAAGTTTAAAAAGAAGAGTTACTAAGAGATTTTCCAAGAGAAGTTTCAGATTTTAGCAAAGAAGTGATTTTAAGAAAAATCAAAGAGAAAAGTATTTTGGAAGAGTGCGTCATTTTTATATGATATTATATAAAAATCTATTTTTAGTCAAACCTGATTATTTTACGGGGTTGGGTAGTACTTACTTAGCTCTAAAGCTAATTTTTGTTATTTTTCTTGTCTCTCTCTTCTCCCTTAAATTTTATCAGGTGATGAGTTGGATACCTATGTGGATTGACGGATTGCTCGAGCTTGAGTGCGAATTAGAAGATGCCTTAGTTAAATCTAGTCATAAAACAAACATTTACTTATTATTACATTAGTTTTTATTGTTTTACTTTGAGTTGCCTGTGCATTCGGTTAAGAGATGACCGGATGTGGCGGTAACACCCATTTCCCTTTTAGACTTCCGCTGTATTTCTTCAACTCTTTGATGAATGAATAAAGTATTTCTTTTAAAATATATCAATGTTTTGGGCGGGAAATTTAGGGGTGTTACATCACTGATGTTGAAGACTTTGTCCGAGGACTTATCATTTGAAGATGAGGAATTCCTCAAAGTGCCAATTTGGGTTAAGTTCCCAAACCTACCAATGAATTTATGGAATGAAAGGGCTATGAGCGAGGTAGCTTCTAGAATTGGGATTCCCTTATCTACGGACAAGGTCACCCAAGAGAGAACAAATCATAATTACGCTAGAGTACTCATTGAAGTTGATGTGTCCAAGCCACCCCTACTGTCCTTTCCTATTCGATTACCTTCACGCAAGGTAATTGAGCAATGGGTGATATACGAGACTTTTCCTAACTACTGCTTTCACTGCAAAGAATATGGGCACCAGCCATTTATTTGCAAAAAGCTGGCTGATAAAGAAAAAAAGGAAAAAATTGATGAGGAAAAGAATGATGTTGGGATTGATAAAGAGGATAAACTGAAAACGGTACAAGGTCAAAAATTGTATGTGAAAGATATGGAAGCCCAAGTGGAGAGCATGGCTACTTTGCCAGTGCCTATTGTTACGTCTGAGGTGAAGGCTACTGTGCTGGAAGAGACCAATAGTGAGAGCTCAGGATATGGATCGTTTGAAACTGACACTGGATCGGGGAGGAGGATCTGGGCCTGACAGATACCACGGATTTTAATGAAGTTTATATGGATGGTAAGGTTTTTATGATTAAAAAAGATGCTAAGGTGAGCAAAAATATGATAAGGAGAATCCTGGGCTTAAGTTGGGAGTAAACATTTGCTAAAAAGAAAATTGCTCTTCCTAATCTTTTTAAGGGTAACTCAAAAGGGAAGAAAAAGAAAAAAGGATTGACTGAAAAAAAATAGCTTCGACACCAGATCTGCTGCGGCTAGATTATAACTCGGTGGCCTTTTTATTCATTGTTTGGTGCATGGTTTAGTTTATCAGATGGGAGAGTTTCAGTCCACTGAATTTTTGCTGCTGTTAGAGAACTTTTACAATGTTACTGCTAGTGTGCCTGCAACTTAGTGGGTGGTGCTTTTTGATTTTGGTGATGCTGCATTTTCCACTACGTAATTGCTGGTGAGCTGGGAAAGCTACTGCCAGTCTGCTTCATTTGGTGCTGCGGTTTGCTGATTTCTGTTTTTGCGGCTGGGCTGCAGATTTTATTTTGGATATGGCTTATTACTTTGTGATGATTTATATTTAGGTTATATTAGTCTAACTTAGATATTTATTTTGATCCGAACTTGATACATCGTAAAATGTTATTTTTGGGTGTTTTTTTAATATATACTTACATTTCATCCAAAAAAAAATAGAGTAACTTCAGCAGTAGGGTGAAAGTTTTTATTATTTGTGCTGGAGTTTCTCAGCTCTTTGTTCTCTTTTTCTAAGACATCATTTTTGCTTAAGGCATCTAGTAATTTAGAATGAATGGCCGTAATGTCTTGTTTGAGTCTATCATTTTCAGCATTCAAGAGAACATGGTGATTTTGGACTTTTTGGAAATCTTGTAATAAAGATTCTTGTGTTATATTGTTTGATCCAGAATCACTAGAGCTATAGAAGGAGCAGGATGTTACCTCAACATTGTTGTAGTGGTCGTTGGCCATTAAGCATTTGGGGGAGCAACTTTCATCATCTTGTCTTCCACTGGTGGGGAAGGCTTGTTGAGCCACCTGTTGCTCTCTTCAGTCACCTGCCATGATCCTAGGCAGAGAAGTGCTTCTTCTGAGCTATTTGATGAGGAGCTCTCATCACTTGAGCTGCTTTCATCATCAGTCTGGAGTTCCTCCCTTTTCTTTTCACTTACAAAGGCTTGTCTTTTGCCTTTGAAGTTTGTGTAACCCGCTTTTTGAGCAGTCCCCTGCTGCCCTTGATATTTTTGGGCTAAGGGCAGAGGGCATTCATTTTTGTAATGTCCTGGCTGTCTACAGTTGTAGCACCAGACAGTTTCCTCGCTGGGTTGAGGTCTCCCTTGTCTTTTAGGTGGCTGGTTGTATGCTTTCTTTGGAGCAGTTCCCTCCTTTTTCATAAATCTTTTAAATTTCCTCACAAACATAGCGAACTGCTCGTCAGTGAGGAGATTATTGAGGGAATTTTCTGCAGATTTTGAAGTGTTTGGCTCAGACACTAGAGTTAGTGTCTTGGACTCATCTTCCTTTTCTTCTTTGATCTCCTTCATTTCAAATTCATAGGCCTTGAGATCACTGAAGAGTTTGTAAGTTGACAAAGTTCTGAGATCTCTGCTATCTCTCATAGCACTTACCTTCATGTCCCACTTAGATTGCAGGCCTCATAAGACTTTAAGGGAAATCTCCTTTTGGGATAGATCTTTCCCTAGGTCTGAGACCTCTGCTATAATCTTTAGGAACCTAGATTCAATCTCATGAATAGACTCATTTGACAACATTTTGAAGTCCTCAAATTTCTTGAGGGCTATGGTCAGTTTGTTGTCATTTTCTTGTTCATCACCAGCTCCGATCTTTGTGAGCTCATCCCATACAGCTTTTGCAGTTTCACATTTCCTAATTCTGGGAAATATGGACTCATCTACAGATTTAAAGAGAATATCTTTGGCAATGTTGTCAAGATTATTCCCCTTTCTATCCTCAGATGTCCATTCCAATTTTGGTTTAGGAATGTATATATCCTCCTGGTCATCAGCTTTGGATGTGCTGACCTTCATTATTCTGATAGTTCCAGCAGTAATTACCTCAAGCATTTCATCATGTAAAGCACTAAGATGTGCTTTCATCCTGATTTTCCAATCATCAATTTTGTTTAAGTTGAACATGAGATTCTTGGTTAGTTGACTGTCCATTGTTAGAAAGTGTTTGGGAGGGGAAGTGGCTTTGGATCTTTAGTTCAAAATAGTCAGTAAATGACTCTAGGAACACTCCGCTCTGATACCACTTGATGGTCCCAGATAGGGTAAAAGTCTAGAGGGGGTTGAATAGACTTTTAAATCTTTTTCGACTTTAAAGCCTTTTTCCATCTAAAGAGTTGATCTATAATCTTTTGAGAGAATTATAGACGCACATCGGAAGTCTTTACCCTTTATGAAATCAGATATCGGAATTATATCTGGCAGTTGGCTTGGCAGTTGGCTAGATAGCAGGGAACTGCTAAGTCAACTGCTGAGGAGATATTGGGTGTTTGATGAAGGTGATAATGAAATGTTGCTGAGAATAATGAGGGCTTTCAGAAAATGTGCTTTAGTAACAGTAATCAGAAATTTTACTAAAGGAGTGGTCTCAGCAGTTGGATGGTGATGAGGGCACTGCTAAGGTATCTGCTTGGTTTAGAGGGTGAATTTCTGAGAGCAGTTTGGTCAACCTCTTGGTTAGTGATTATATGAAGATCTGGTGATATTGAGATGTTTGAGAGAAACAAGTGTATATGACCAGAGGGCTCAACAGTTGGGTGGATTCCAGGGGACTGCTGAGGCACCTGCTATGAGTTTCTGGGAAATATTAGAATAGTCCTTTTGGTGATATTGGTGCACTTCTCTTGTATGAAAATGATCTCAAAGAAAGTAAATAATTAAGCAGTAGGATAAACAGTTGATGAGTCAGTTAAGACAACTGTTTAGGATTCTGCTGGCAAACTTCAATCTTTTTGTAAGAGGTGCTAAGTGTGTGCTTTGTTGAATGAAATTAAATCAACACACAGTATATCCTGGTTCAGAGGTGGTGTAATCCTCCTACGTCCAGTCCCACCCTCTTTCAGATGGATTTCACTAAAATATTAAGCCCAATACACTTAGTGACAATCTAGCGTTTACAACACTTAGGCCTAGATTGAAGGTTTTTCACGATGAGTATAGCACCACTCAAAGTTACTCAGTCCTTAGACTTTTCTCTAATGAACCAGTGGGGATCAAAAGGTACTCTATCTATCTACTCACACTGTAGGATCTGAACAACTGTTCTCCTAAGTGTTTACAACAATATGTGAAATGTTACAAGAAAGTTCTAACCTCCAACTAGGAACTAAACTTCTATGATTTAGCAATGAATAGCTTGTAAACTGGAAGTTTAGTGAAACATGAGTCCAAGCAGAGAGTAAAGTTTAGAATAACACTTTCTCTTTCGCTAGATAGCTCGTGAATGCTCGTGAAAGAATTTCTCTACTTTTGAATGCTCAAAGCTTGGTTAGAAACTTTCGTTTCAGTCTATATTTATAGGCTACTCCAGTTGATTAATCTCATCCGTTAGTTAGGATGGATTGATCTTGTTCGTTGAAAATTGGCTAGGACGAACTGTACTTTTGTCTTCTTGTGCTGGAGCATTTATTGGAGTGATTTATCTGTCTTGAGTATCTCAGCCGCTGAAGTATCTCTTCAGAAAATAATCCCATGTGTTGCGTCCTATGCCTTGGTCCCATTACTTGATTCGGTATTAATTGTCGGTCAAGTTTTGTCTTCAATCATTTACATTCATTGTATACGATTTTCGAACTTTTTATTGTTTTCGTGACATTCAATTTTTGGTGTGCAAATAGAATTATACTGGTAGGATTTGAATATCCTTTTAAGGTAAAAATTTACCTTATTGCATTTTATCTTTCCAGTGTAATTTTATTAGTCCCAAAAATTGTACATTTATTTTGTCACTTTTGGAGTCTAGTACTTAAATAAAGTGAGACACAATGTACACGTGCTAAGTATAGTGGCATCATCAAAATCTATCAAAATTGGGTACTAACAGCATGTTATTTGAATCTGGTCTTAAAATATCTATGTGGGGTGAGGCTATAGTAACTGTTGCTTACTTGATAAACTTTTTTTTAAACCCGGAAGGCAAATCACCAAAATCAGTGGGGCAAATGCCGGGGAACATTTGCCGATGTTTTATTAAAAATCAACGGAAATACAAATGGAGAGGGGGACTAGATAAACATCTTCTATGGTGAACTTTAAAACTTCACAAAAGATGTGGTCTGAAATCAAGCCTAACATTACTCATTTGAGACCTTTTGGGTGCACTGCCTATGCGCATGTGTCCCAAGGTAATTTGGAACCAAGGGCAATCAAATGTGTAATGATAGGCTATCCTGAGGGTGTTAAAGGTTATAAGCTTTTAGTTATTCAACCAGGAGCTTATAAGTGCTTTGTGTCCAGAGATGTTGTGTTTAATGAAGTTGAATTCCATTATAAGAAAATTAACACTCCTTCAAGTGACTTGACAGGTGATTCTGATGGGAACTTTTTTGATCCTATGGACAATGATGATCTGTCAGATGAGGATCATGACAATGGAGTTTTCCACAATGTCAATGATGACCATTCATTATCTGGAAATGATTTGAATGACTCATCTGAATGTAATGTGTATCCTAGTCATGATATAGATCAACAATGTAGTAGCTCCCCCTCACTTAATGATTATGATAATTTGCATGATGTGACTGTTCAAAGTGATATGCATATGTCTGATTCTTTAGATGTTTCTTCTAATGAAAATTCTAATGACTTTGTTGAACCAAACTTAGCTGATTATCAACTTGTAAGAGTCAGAGAACCTAGGACAATTATTCCTAATAGGAGATATATGTCCAACCTTGCTGAGTTTGTGTTGTTAGCCTCAGAAGTAGTTAAAAACTATGTTCCTGACACTTTTGAACAAGCTGTCAGAAGTTCTAAGTCAAATGATTGGTTTAAGGCAATGCAAGAAGAAATGCAATATATGTTTGCAAATCAAATCTGGGTTCCTAAACCTAAGGGTGCTAAAGTCATAGATTGTAGATGAATTTACAGGCTAAAAGATAGTTTTGTTCCCACTGAACCACCTAAGTTTAAGGCTAGATTAGTTGCAAAAGGTTTTAAACAAAAACAAGGGATTGATTACCAAGATATTTTAGCTCATGTGGTTAAATTCAAAACTCTAAGACTTTTACTTGCCATAGCTACTGTTTTTGACTGGGAACTTGAGCAAATGGATATCCAAACTGTTTTTTTGCATGAAGATATTAATGAAACTATTTATATGTCTCAACCACCTGGATTTATTTGTAAAAATAAACCTGATCATGTCTGCTTACATTTTTATAAGAACTGGTACTATTATAACAAATCTCGTGTAACTTGTACTTATAAGAACTGGTACTATTATAACAAATCTCGTGTAACTTGTACTTACTCGTGTAATCTCGTGTAACTCGTACTTATAAAAATGTAACTCGTGATATACATTTTTTTTGCTCACCTTCTGTTGTGCTATAACTCGTGTTATAAAGCTCATTATTCAAAATAAATAAATGATGAATAAATCAAAAGAGTAGGACAATTAGACTTTAAGTAAATATACGATTATGCAAAAGTAGCTGTATCTTCCATCCTTACTTCTTTAGGATCATGTGCTTATTTTCAAAAAAGAATGAGCTTATTTGTGTTATGATTTCAAAACAGAAGCTAGCAATGCTAAGACACAAAGAAAAATTCCCAGTACTATGCTATCTTATCGGAGTGTGATTTTTGCATAGTCAGGTAGTGAAGGTAATGAATCAACAATACAATCAGTGGGAAGTAGCTACAATGGTTAAAAACTTCATTACTTTTCAAACTTTAATACCATGATATACATGCAAAAGGCAACTATAAGGTCATGTTAAACTTATCTGAGTGTGATTTTTGCATTGTCAGGTAGTGAAGGTAATGAATCAACAATACAACGAGTGGGAAGTAGCTACAATGGTATAAAACTTCATTAGTTTTCAAACTTTAATTCACTATCACCTTCTTTATTGTGAAATTTATCTTTCCTTCTAATTAAGTATCACCTTCTTTAATCAGTCGGGAAGACCACTGGTCACTGTGGAATAAGTTTCATCCTGCCCCTTCTCAATTTCATCGACAATTGAATTGTGTAATATATATCAGAAGTAGATATATAGAGAACACTGAGGTGCAGTATTTCAATAGTCATCTATTTCTGATTAAGTACTTCGGTGTGCATACTATATATTATCTACTACTTTGAATAGTAACGTTTACCACATATGCCTATTGTTGTGAGATCTTGGATTCCACCCCACCCTTCTTAGTTTTAGCTTACCAGCCTCATGGTCTTCCCATGGTCCAAGCCACAAAAGCTGGAGCTTTGGCCTCAACTTTTTTTATGTTGAGCAAAAAGCCTTCAACCTGAGCAATATTAGTAGACTTACACAGTTCTTCCATTTGAAGTTGTATTATCTCTATTTAGGGAACACTTGATAAGGTTTATGTGGTTGGCATGGTTGAATATGCTATTTATTTTTAGGAAAAGCATTTATTGTTAGAATGTTTTTATGCATACAAGTATGTCAAAGACAACTTATTTTGAATGTGCGGTTTAATTCCACAAGACTGGGCCATAATCATTCTTGATATAGCTATAATCATCTATTTGAAAAGCACTCGAATGTTGGGTCTTGTGCAGATTGATTATTTGATTACTCAAGCTAAAAAGGGCTGCATTGGGCTCCCATAGAACATTATTTGGTGTTGTTCAGGTGAAGCAACTTGGTGACATGTTTCTTCAAATTAGAGGACAAATTGGTATATCCTTCAATTCTTAATTCACGTCTTTTAGGGTAGCTTTTAATGAGTCTTTCTTTCCCCCCAAAGTTTGGACTCTTATTTTCCTAATCACCGCATGTAGGCTCTATCAAGAGGAATAAATCAAGAGACAGTCATTCTGTCAATTGTTATTGCAGCTTAAATGATGTTTCTAATAATTCTCTGGCTCTTGAAATAGCTAGAAATGACATTTGTTGAGTTACACAAATCAAAACCACAGTGCATTGGATTTGTAATCTACCAAAAAGTCATCACTTAGATCCCTTTATTCTGCCATAGGTTATAAGAAGATGGTGGCCGGATTATCTGCAACTCTATTAAAAAGTGTCCAGTACTAAGTTACTAACATTAACTATATTTAGTCAATAATTGATTATCTGCATTCTTGAAGCTTCTTTTCTGCACTCATAGAATATAAATAAAAGCCTTTTAGTTTTATTTTTATATATTACGCTATAATATAATGTTCTCTTTTATCTTCTGGACACTTAGACCCATTTTTAATTTTATTATTATTATTATTATTATTATTGATGGAGTATATGGGTCTAGGCCCTAGGACCCACATACTCAGAAGAACAGAAAGTACAAGCCACTGAGTGGTGCCCTCGTCGGCCAAAGGAGCCCCGTCGGCCGAAGAGGGACCAACTCAGAATATGATCCTGAAGCCAGGGAACTAGGGTGCCCCCGTCGGCCGTGCCCTCATCGGCCGTGCCCTCATCGGCCGTGCCCTCGTCGGCCAGACCCTCGTCGGCCACGGAAGCCTCACAGAACTAGATTTTACACTTAATCATTTCTACACACATTGTATTCGGCCCAATAGCGGTCCAGTTGTAAATGGGCCTCCCAAGCCCAAGGCTTGGGAGCCCAGACCGTATTTTTCCTATAAATACTTCCTCTGGAGGTAGTTGTAGGGGTTGGAAAATCATTTATTGAAACATTTACTTGCACTTCTCTCTCTAGCTCTCACTTCTCTCTAGTATATACTCTATCATTTGGTGCTTTCATTGAGAGCCGAGGACCGCACGCACTTACCGGCCTCGAGCAGTAAAAATAAATCCCCACGAACCAAACCACACGTTTGGCTAAGTACATATCAGTTGAGTACAAAGGTAACACTACCAACAGGTAACACGGACGAAGCGGCCACCCGCTACGAGGAAAGTGTCAAGGACGGAGCATGCACCTATAGAATCCTAACCAAGTGGTTGGGTGAAACGAGAGTGGTTACCTTCATCGGCCATGACCGACCGAAGTTCCAACACTTAGCATGCAAACCAAGAATCCCAGCTTGACACTTAACACAATCCTGGAGTTGAACACCAGAAATGAGGTCCAGGACGAAGCGGGCACTAAAACATTCGCGGGAAAGTTGAGCACACTGGCGGCAACCCTTACCGGCCACACCATTCTCGCTGGCCGTTAAAGGCGCTAAAACCTAGGCGGCTGCTTAAGTTGAACACTTAGAAAAATTTCAAAGGAAAAGGGGAAAAGACATCCCCAAGACGAAGCAAACAACAGAGAGGAAAGTGGCCTAAGTGAATTTCAAACACTTAGAAACTTTTTGAAGAAAGTTGCCTAAGTGAATTTCAAACACTTAGAGAATTTTTTGAAGAAAGCAAATGCGAAGGAAAAGGCAAGCACCCGGGTGCGCAACACACGGGTACCTTCATCGGCCACACCGCCCCAAATTGGCCGACAACGGTACTAGGCAGAGAAAACTACATGGCCCAACACTTAGAGAAATCTCCAAAGTATTGGATAACGAGGGGATAGGCTCAAGACGAAGTGGGCACTCAAACACTTGCAGGTGCCCGCCTCGGCCCCAGCCACGGGCGGTAGTTATCTATGTTCTGGTTTGACACTAGACAAATTTCAAAATTGAAATAACGAAAGCAATAAGGATAAACATTCAGAGTCGAAGGGGACAGAAGTACAATTCATTCAATCAAAAGGCTAAATTACATAGGAGGGCGCTTCGGCCGTTACATTTAGACAGGCAAACCGAATAGCTATTACTAATTACAAGGTAAAATAAATTACAGCCAATCAAGCCTCCTCAGCACCCTCACTGGCAGCCTGACCCGCGACGTTCTGATCAACGATGAACCCGACATCATCCTCGGCCTCGGCATCTAAGTTGGCCTCCACAACGGAAGTGGCAGTATCGGCCAAGACATCATCCTCACCATAGTCTGGTTCGCCGAGGCCAGAACTTTCTATCGGAGCTTGCCTGTCAGAAAGGGGAAGTTTAATCTGCTCCTCCGGATCCTTCATCAGCTTGGGAAGCTGCAGGTTCCGCCTGGCCCACCCCCGGGTATAGTTCAACGCTTTGAAGGCACGACTCAGCCGCCGATAGAGAAACCTTTGCATCCGATGTTGGCCCATGTTGTAATACACGGACATCTCACACTCAAAATACTCTTGGCCGGCAGGGGAGTTTTGCCCCCCAATCCTCGAGCTTGGCCGCCACGACATCGTAACACCAGGGAAAGCGCTCGTCAGCTTTCCAGCCCTCGGCCAGGAACTTCTCAATAGCAGCATCAGCGGCCTTCAGCGCTCCAGCCTCGGCTTCGGCTTTGGCTTTCTCGACATCATCGGCCCGCCGGCGTTCAGCCTCCCGGGCATCCCTCTCTTCAGCAAGCTTGGCCAGGGCTTCGTCTTTGACCGCATCGGCCTCGTCGGCCCTCTTCTGCAAGGCCACGAAGTCCTCTCGCAACTTGTCCAAGCAGCTCAAGGCCTCATCGGCCGAAGCTGCCTTCTGCTCAAGCTCCTTCAAACGGGCAATCTCCCGTTGCTGCCTCTTGTTGCTCTCCATGAGCATGAAGGCACCCTGCAACACAAAACACTATCAGACAACAAGTTCATGAAAACGTCAAAGGAAAACGACGAAGTTAAAGAAAAGAGGATTCACCTGGACGACAAGGTCCATCCCCCCGTCATATATCTTGACATCGCCAAGCTTGTCAAGATAAGTCCGATCCTTGACTGGGATGGCCTGGGAGAGCACATCATGGCCATCAACGCCATCATTGAAGACACCCCCGTCCTTGGGGTACTCAACCTCAATCTTATAGGTGGTCGTAGCCACCTCCTTGCCGGACCGCTTCGGCCGGGGGCCCTGATCGAGGGAGAGGGGTTGAGAAACACCGCCGGAGAGACCGGAGGTAAGATCCACAATGGCAACAGCAGCACCGGATCCCCCTTCGTCCACAATTGGGATGGTCAGAGCACCGACCTCGTCGGCCACAGAGGAAGGCGAAGCCTTCTTGGACTTCTTGGCGGGTTGCATGCCGGCCTCAGTCAGCTTTTTCTGGGAATCATCCGCCGGCCGCTTTTTCTTCGGCTGGGGGGTGGCTTCTTCGTCACATCACTTGCCGCCGCCTTCGCTGCGGCCTCCTTAGCGGCCAGCTCCGCCTTCGCCTTTGCGGCGGCCTTGTTCATCACGGACCGACGATCCATCACAAAGTCTACACAACAAAGAAAAATAAGTTAGCAAAGTAAACAAACAAAACGAAACAAGGACGCCGGAGGAAGTACTACCATCAGCTTCGGCAGGGACGCCCAGATCTGGGCCGTCGGCCTCCTCAAAGGTAGTGGTCATGCTCGGCCACAGTTGGACGTCATCCTCCTTGTCACCATACACGAAGTATCTAAAGAAGCCGATAGCAGTCATCTTGTACTCCGTGATGTAATCCTTCACGCTCCTCGCCCCCCCCCCCCCCCCCCTCAAGGAACGCCTCCACCTGAGCATCCAGGATCGAACTCTTCGGCGGCTCATGGAGATTGAATCTCCCACCATGGCCGACGGAGGGGAATTCAGTGCCATCCTCGCCCAGGGACACGAAGACAAATTTGCTCTTCCAACCATGTATGGACGAAGGCAAGTCCGTGAAAGTCCTCCTCTTCGGCAGCTGCTGCAGAGTGGCGTAGCAGGCACAATTTTTATGGCTCCCTCGGCCAATATGATAAAGGTTCATGAACAGGGCCGTCGTCGGCTTGTAACCCAATTCAGCACAGCGGAGGAGGAACCACACCATCAACGAGTAGCTGCTTGGGGTCAACAAGGCCGAAGGGAGTCCCACCATGTCCAGGTAATCCTTGATGAAGGGGTGGAGGGGAAACCTTAGCCCCTTAGCGAAGCTCATCGGATACACTCCGAAGTATCCTGGCGGCGGATTAAGCACGTGGTCCGTTGGCCTAGGCGCCCTAACCCTCCCAAACGGCCCCACGTACATCTGTGCGACCAAGTAATCAGCAGCGCTACTCTCCGTCTTGATGAGGAAAATATTAGTGAGGTCCAAGTAAGAGAAACCCAGGCCCTTCTTCGGCCGCATGTTCCTCTTCGGCCGCAATGCCCCCTTCACAGCAGACACCGGCTTCGGGCACGGAATGGTAGTAGAAGTAGACGCCCCGTCCATTACGCGGGAAACCTCTGCGTCCTCACCCTCAGATGACGAGGCGGACTCCTCGTCCTCGCCCTCCTCATCCACATGATCCTCAGACTTATAAGGGCTCAGATGTTCAATCTCCTCGGCACACTCTTCGATCACGTCGTAGTCAAGAGACTTAACGGAGGGCTCGTCGTCATACGGGTAATACTCCTCGTTCAGGGTTTTCATCTTAACAACTCCTAAGACACTAAGGGGATCTACTTTAGATCTAAGGTGTTTTTGTGACTAACACTAAATCAAAGTCTAGAGGGAGCAAAATATGTAAGCAATCGAAGAAAAGATGAAGAACTAACCTTGAAGTTTTGAGGGAGGTGAAGAACACTCGCAAAAGACTTTATCTCTCTAGAATTTTGGGCAGCACTTCGTTTGCTCAGGATGCAAATGGAGGCTTTCTTCGGAATGGGAGGGGTATTTATAGCTCCCCCCAACGGTAACTACACGTGGCACCACCATAGTGGCCAGACCAACGACCACTAATGGGATGCCACCACTTCGTCAATGGGCCAAGCCCCCTCCATAGATCAACGGCCCACCAGCAAAGCAGGCTCTACGGAGCGAGGAAGGGGAAAATAGCACCCACAACGGCCAACACAGGCTACGGCTACCCGCATCGGCCATTTAAGCGGCCATACATATTATATAATGAAAGGCCTTACAACGGCCACAACACCCCAAAGGGAAAGGAACGTAACGGCCATTCGGCCCTCGCACTAAACCCGTGATTATAACCCTTTGAAAGCGACCTGCGTCCAAGGGTTCTCCCACAGGGTTACCTTGGTCAGGAAATCGCCAAAGGGTTGGATCTAAGGGCAGTATGAGGATCCCGCTTCGGCCTAGGTTTCAAGCTACTCCTTCATCCCTCAGATACGCTTCGGCTTGAAGGAGTGGGGGACTGGGGGACTACACCGGCCTCAAGAACGCAAAGGGTAGAAGGAAAATTAAAAAACGCACTACACTGAAAACGTAATCATACTGGCTATGCAT